TTTTCCAAAACTTACGAACGGTACTGCGGTTCAAGCAAAAGGAAACATACCAGCTGATATTGAAATCAGCCCAACTGTGAAGTCAACAAAGCACAAAGGTATATCTTTCGCACCAATCCTAACATCGTCGTAGCAAAGCTGGATCAGATGCTCTTGTACTGCCTGGACATAGTCTGCGAAGTCCTTGTACAAGGTGCGAACAACTTTAGCAGGAACAAAAAGACTCTGAAAAAAGTTGCAAAAATCGGATTTACACCATCAACTGAGCAGATGTTAATCTTACTGCTCTTTCAATCATGGCGTTTGATTTCAGACGAAGCAATATGTAATATATCTCAGTAATCTTTTCTATCGCTTTGCTTCTCGTGGGACGTGGTCCTCTTCTCTTCAAAACATCCCGTAATGCTCTCACTGCTGCTTCCAGGTAGTGAATCCGCTTATCCTATCAGTCGAAATTATCATACAGCATAACTTTGAATTCTCTCTTACCTTCCACACTTGGTCAGTCTCTTTATTGAGATCCTGAGCAAACGTATACAATGCAAAGCCAAAATCAACAAGACTATTTGAATACACACTACTCCCGTTCTGCGTCTCAAAATCTGGTCGAATTATCTCGAAGATTTTTGTGAAGGAAGCGCACACCTATAAAACAAACTTTGAGAGAAGAACGGAGCAATAAAAAAAGTCCTCACATCATCAACCAATGCGCGAACTGGAGCACTTGTTACTGCTTCCTTATATATATTCACTTTGATGTTGTACTCAAGCCTTGCTGTCGCTGCACTGTTTGCATAGAGAACTACTTCAGGATCCCGCAAGTCCTTTCTGTTGTATGCACTCAGTATCTCGAGAGCCTAAGAATCCAATAAAGGGGTAGAGATTTAGAATATACATGTTAGAAGACGTACTTAGAATGCTAAAGGCACCGTACACCCTGAGGTGGATGTGATTTAGATGTTGTATAATTGCAAGGCCCTTGACCAAGCAATTGCCCAAGTTACGCTGCAAAAGACAAATTCCGAAGCGAGAAAACCGCATCAGAAAGTAGAAGCGACCGGCCATCAACGTAGATAGTCCGACGATAACAAGTCCAAACTTCGGATTCAGAATAGATGGAAATGCGCAAATCAGATATTCATGATACAAAGCGTATTTATGTCAATTCTGAATACATTGAAGCTCAGTGGACTTGTTATGTTCCGTCCACCTGGTGGGCGAAGCTACTCGGCACACTTCCACCTTCTGAAGCGGTTTTCTCGCTTCGGAATTCATCTTTCGCCGCGAGGCCTCGGCGATGGCTTGGTTAAAGACCCTTAAATAGCATTCAAATCTCAGCAACCTGAATTTGGGTGAACGCTATCTTTGATTGCTAAGGTCAATAGCTCCTATAAATGTTCCAAAGACTACCTTCTTATAGATGTGCTTGGCGATTTCAACATATTCCATTGCCTTATCGCCATTTGCACGCGCATCACCCTCTGTAAACATATTTCTCACGGTTTGGAATGCTAAGGACTGAGATTAGAACCTTTATTACATTCAGCCTTCCCAAGAGTTGTGAACTTTCCTCCAGTCATCATCAAAGCCATAACTGCACGTGATACATTTCTGTCAAGCGGGCTCAACCCTGTAGCAACTGGAGTGAACTCGACTTGAGTGAAGGCTGCGGGATACTCTTTGATGAAGTGATGACATCTATCCGAGAAAAACAACTGTGATAGGATATTAAGAGAGTATAAAGATCCTACCTAAACGCAGCTGCTTCAACTTGTTCCAGCCATTCTTTTCTAGTCTTACTTCCAGAGCTATTTTCAAACCAAAGTGATGCGAAATTGAGAACGCCTAAAAGTGGTTGTTTCTGAAAGAATAGACATACCCAGCCCTGCCACGTCCCCTTTGCAACGGGACTGGTGGCTGGAAGGCGACCGCTCGCATCCGCGACGCAGTGAAGCTCCGCCTTCCAGCGGCCAATCCCTTACATGAAGGGTACGATCTGAATGTACGCAAAAGCACCTTTCATAACGACTCCTGACGTTGCGAGTTCCATGAAACGGCGATCACGGTATGGAATAGTATTATTCTAAAAACTATGTTTGTGAAGAATAGCTGTCTAATTTCACATATGGAACGTACAAGTGCAGTTGTGTCCACAACTTCATCGATGAGTTCCGATGCAGCGTTTACGAATGTCGAAAGAAAAACTTGTAAAAGCGCATGACAGATGGACATATGGCGAGATACCGGTTTCGATGATAGAACAGCTGCTGCAAATGGCCCGATTCGATATGAATTCAGAACACGGTCCTTACAATGCTATTTTTTGATTCAACGAGATTGGCTGGAAGGCGACGCCTCGCACGCGCGACGGAGTCTGCGTTTCTCTCGCGAGCATGCTCTCTGATCATCTTTTAGCCCACAGCCCCGCCTTCCAGCCAGAGTTAGTTTGAGATATTCCGTAGTTAGACGAAGAATAAAAACTGACCACAAAGCGTAGTGGCGCATCGAGAGAAGTTGTAGGCTTTTACGTGGCGATCCAGACAAAGTGCTTGATAAACTAAAGGCAGGTAAGCAGAAGCAGCTCTAATCAGGATTGCGTGTCGAAACAAACGCCGTATAGCCAAGTTGTCATTATCTATAACAAAACAATCTTTGTATAGGCAGCACGGCCAAGATCCATTGGATTCGGTACTGATACATACTGCGAATGCTATTCATCGCTGCCACTTCATCTGGACTATCAGGCTTGAAAGGACATAGCTGATCCACGTCAACACCTTCGAGAGCATTCAAGGCCTAGAATTCCATTTTAAGAGTAACCGAATACGACTTCGCAACTGCAAACCTGCAAACAGTGCTCCAAAGCTTGTACTGCGCATTCCGACTCCACCCTTACATTTGGAGGCCGTTTCGATGAAGAGCTGCTAGATCTAGTAGTTTGATCGTTATCGTAAGAACAGTTGCTCGAGCTTCTCGTTAGGCTTGCAACCTATTCAAA